GGGGGGGGGTTGGGGGGGGGGGGGGGGAGAGAGGAAAAAGGGGTTTGGTTCCTTCTAACTTAACGTATATTCTTACTCTTGAATCTATAGGCATGCCTCAATAAAAAGACCTAGTAGTTTAAAATTTGAAAACCAGGACAGCACTGAGACAACCTAGACAAGCCTAAAAAAGGAATTTTTACAGACTATTTTGACAGAGTAACTGCATTTACACATCAGAGGGTTGTTTTTTTTTAAATCTCACGTTAAGCATATTTCTCTGTTTTCACATTTCAGAACGGTATGAGTTTTAGAAATCCTCACCTCCGTGCCATTAACATTTTGCTGATTACCATTGCAGCAGTTTGCACAGCAGCGAAGGAAGATCGGGTAGAAGGTGTTTTGGGGTTAAAACAAGTGCTTATTTTTCTAATTCGCTAAATTCTTCATCTGAGACAACCGGTAAAGCCTAGGTAAAGTTAGTGTTTTTTCAGAGTCCAATTGCTGCCGAAGAGAATAACTTGGTTACTGGTGAAATGTATGCTAGGGTAGTTGGGTCACAGAACTCTTGCTGAGCCCATTCCTGTAAGAGTTTAAAATTAAATTAAAAAAAAATAAAAATCCCTGACCTAAGAGGAAGGGAGAGAAGCACAGAGAGATGCTCTCAGCGCCGAACCAGAATGAATGCAGCATATGCTCTTTGCATACTGCTTTACCGTACTGACACTTTACAGCTCTGTTGCAGATATGCATCATTACCTTGCACTGTTCTCGCACTCTCTGTCTGAGCACGCTACCTTCAAACCATTTAAACAATCAGAGCCAATTACTGTGGCACCCGCTAGCACTGTTACAGGTGAGGCTGTGTCAGGATTTCCACTCAGTGTAAAACTAGGCAACGGAAAGAGGGGGCTGTGGGCTTGGGGCAGCCCGCCTAGAGCTAAATCTGCTGGTTAGAGGGGTTAAAAGATGGTGAATAGTCCCCCCCAAGCCTAAGGGCCCCCTTGGAAGTTGCTGTGGCAGGTTGAATTTGTTCCCTGATTGCTCCTCGGCCCCGGAGCATCTTCCCTGCTGTGCTTGCTCTCTCTCACTTAGCTGTGCGGTGGAAGGGGTGCCGTTGCCTGCCTGCCTTTGTGCATCTCTATCCTGCCTTCTGCCGCACGGTGGACCACCAGCTCTCACTTTGCTAACTTGGAGCCATTTGTAGACATCTCCACGGCTAAGCGAATCCAAGCGGGAGCGTGCCTGGCAGGCAGGCTCGTCCCCCACCTACTCCTGCCTGCCAGCCTCTTGAAGGCCTTCAGAACTGCTGACAGTTGACTTAAGCACTGATTTCAGGTTGCACCTTTTTATAACTACAGAGGGAGAAAGCTATTGTCAGGCCCCTAGTAAATGAAAGGCTTGCAGTTGCCAGAAGGCAGAAGAGGACTCTTCATGGAAAGAGAAGAATACTTCTATTTCTAAAGTGCTCCTTGTGCTCCTTTTACCCCTCCTGCTCAGGCAGGCTCAATTCAGCAGAGCAGCACTTCTAATGATGCATTAACGGAGGAGCAGAACCCATGTTTGCTGGTGCTGGAGCATGTGAGGAAGTTTTTAAGGCAAGGAAAGGGCGAGGGGCTCTCAAGGTGGGTTTCCCTTCAAAGCCTGGGGTGGGGGATGATGGAAGTTATTAGGGACTTTTTTAAAAGAGGAAATGTATTTAGTGGTGGGAGATTCCCAGTGGCTTGTTTTGCTGCTTATATGAAGCAGTCATAGTGACCACCAGAATTAGGGGTAGTGTGTGAGCATGGGTAACTCAAGGCAAAGTCTGTAGTGTAGCCCAGGCCTCTATAATTAATTGGAAACCATCAGATCCAAATTATAGCCAGTCCATTGTTTAAAGCTTTGTAGATAGTTAATAGTGGGCACATCTATACAAGGCACTTTACTGTACAGCAGGCTACTTTGCTGCACAGTAAACTGCCACCATTTACACGTGCATGGCAGTTAGGGCACAGTAGACTAATGTACTGTGCTGCCAGATAGTTCCGTCAGATGCAAGTTTTTGACTCTGCTCATCTTGAGACAGACATGCTGTACACATGTTGCCTTTCCAATCAGGGTTTGGTAAGTGTTTGAAGTCAGTACTACATTTCTCCTGTTGCTTTGATGATGCAACGCTGGGACAGCTGTTCAGCTGCACTTTGAGGTGTCCTGGGGCAAACCATTAGTAGTCCTTATCCTATGATCCATTTTAGGGGTTGCCTTGGAACAAGACACAGATGCATAAACACTGTCCCAGGATAAAACGGTTTATCCCAGGACAAATGTGATTGTTCATAGGCAGTTTGAGCCAATACTGATGTCTCATGCAGAATTTGGCTTTCCGCTCTCAACGTGAATACATCTGCATTGTGGGATAGATCTTTAGCGCATTTCTTAAAATATATCCCAGAGTTCCTTACAAACAGTGTCACGGCTCAGTCACCTTTACATTGAATCTCAGCATACAGCGCACTGAGCAACAGTGAGAGAGAGAATATTGTCTAATGAAATCGGGGCAAAGTCGTGCTTTCCCCGAAGAGCAACTGAAAAACGCTGGTTTTGAGAACAGCCCGTGCTGCTTCAGCTGAACGTCTCTGCAGTGTGCATCTTTCCTTTGAATCGCCAAGTGAGTGTAATTGGGCTTGCCCCACTTCAGCAGCAGTCTCGCACCTAAGTCAACATGCATTTCCAGTAGCAGCGGGACACGCTCTGTGCTCTTCGCTGTTTCCCTGGCAGTGGATGTGCAAAGGATCCCTGGAGCCCACCTCTGCTGGAAAGCATCAAACCGCCAATGAAATCATTGAAGAGCAGGATTTGCTAGTCAGCTTTGTCTCACTATATCTGCCTGCGCTGTTTCAGCCCCAGTAAGCCAGTCCCACCTTGGAGTAGCGGTTGCTATTTAAAAGCATAATCAACCTTGTTTGCAGATTTCCTCGTTTCCCAATCTGCTGTGGCTGCTGTTCCTTCTTCCCGCTGTTTTATCGCACTCTTCTGCTGTCCATGCCCCCAACAAAAGGAAATCCAGGACTCTTGTTTTCTTGCCTCATTTTGGATAGCCATCTTTTGTGGAGCTGGCACTATAATTTAAATTATTATTGTTTATTAATTGAATTACAAAGAATCCCAGGTTTCCCTGTTAAGATTATAGGATCACAGGAAGGTAGGATCAGGGTCCCTTTTGCAGTGTGTGCGCGTGTAACCTCTCCCACATGCAAGAATCGGGGCTGTAGGAGCTCCATGCCACCTGCCTTCATCTCCAGCTCTCAGTGGTAGGTGAAATAGGTATTGGCACCTAAGGACCCTCTGTTGAGGTCTGCTTGAGCATGGGAAAATGCAGTTTTTCAAGGCTTTAGAATGCACTGAGATCTGGTTGATAGTCATGGATGGCTGCAAACGGCACCTCTCCAATGCCCGGACGGAAGCCATGCCAAGTTTCAGGTTCCTGATCCAAAGCCCAGCAGTGGTTGCAGCTGTTCGTTCAGGTTTTAATATCGCTCTCAATCATTCCAGCTTAAACTTTTCAAAAGCAGCTTCTGCCCGAGCTTGATACCCAGCAAGGAAAAGTTCAGTCTGGACAGCTGGCTTGTGGAAAGCAATTGGAAGCAGTACCCAACGCTGTCCACTTATAATGGCAAGTGTTGGGTAAACTTAGTGATGGGTGTTACTGCTAGCTTCTCCTGATTTATATTGCAGCTTTTTGGAGATTGTGGTGGATACTGGGGGCCTCGTTGGCTTTGCACAAGTAGCCCTAAAGGGCTTCTCTCCGAGAGGGGAAGTGCAGGAGAGAGAGGGAGAAGGAAACAAGAGCCTGTTTCTGCTACTTCTGAGAGGTGCATCAGTTTGATTGCATAAGTGACAGCGACTTTCCCGGCTTCCCTGCAGCCTGCCAACTACACAATAGTAGTCTTTGGAGGTGGAGAGGTAGAACGGGTCCTGGAGAGGGTTGGAGTAGAAGAGGAAAGCGGGCATGCCAGGTCCTGAGTAGATGCTAGCCAGCGAACAACCAATTCATTAATCTCGAGGCACGCCAAACCTGACTTATTTCGCAGGTTGCTGTATTTAATGTAAGGCACTGTCGAGTGACTTCGGCTTTATTCCCAGCTCCCAAATGTGTAAACATTGTCACTACAAAATGCAGAGCAGTTTGAAAGGTTTCTTATTAAAGCAATCATTTGGGAGTTAATTAACATTTCTGTTTTTGGGCTCATCCTAATTTAAATTGGCCTGATCTTGTTGGAGCGTTAGACTTATGCATAACAAACTAGATCCTAATGGAGCGGTGCCTATTTGCATCAGCGAGGAATCTGGCACTTGCACTTAAACATTATTTTCCCCCTTAAATTTTAAGGTGCATGGTGGGTGGAGTTGGTGTTTTCAGCCTGTCAGTGAGTTGTCTTTTGTGTTTGAGACAAAGCCTTAAATGACACACTTATCATTCATGTTATCATTCATGCGGGGTGTTTGTCTTTGGAAGAGGCAATGCATGCTTCAGCTTGAGAGGGAGGGTTGCAGCGATGTGAGTCCTCTTACTACTGAACGTGACAATGTGTTGGGGATGTGTACTGTGTCCTGAATAACTGTGCTGAGTTGCACAGTGCTCTCCTATGGAAGATTTTCCCTGTAATCTTTCTGCGGTGAATGTATAGGACCTTTTTATTAGTCACCAGAAATCAGTGGAGAATCAAACTTGAATAAAGATAACGCCCAGCAAGCTAAAACCAGTGAAACTGCAAAATTTCTTTTTGGTTTCCTGGGTTGTTGGTCTAAGGACATAAGCAGACATGGCTCTTTGGGTAGATGCGGTATCTTTTATTAGACCAGCTAAATCGTTGTGGGGGGAAAAGTTCTTTGCAAACTTTTGGGCACAAGCACTCTTCTTCAGGCATAGGGAGACTGCTGCTGCTCTGTGTTTTCCATGGTAGACAAGAAGCTAAAGTATAACAAGAAGTCTGAAAATGCAAATAACTTCCACTCATTGACATTTTCAGATTTCTTGTTATACTTTTCTGAAGGTAGAAAAGAAGCTAAAGTACAGTATCACAAGAAATATGAAAATGCCAACGAGTGGAAGTTATTTACATTTTCACAGACTTCTTGTCATACTTTAGTTTCTTTTCTACCTTGGAAAACAGAGCGGCAGCAGTCTCCCAATGCCTGAAGAAGGGTGTTTTGTGCCCGAAAGCTTGCAAAGAACTTTTTTCTAACTATTTAGTTGGTCTAATAAAAGAGATCACGTCTACCTAAAGAACTTTGCCTGCCTTTTGGTTTCCTGGAAATGTTGCTCGAAGAACTCCTTTTAAAGCTATTTCATCACCTTCAGTCACTGGTCACAGATCTGTGACCTTTTAACGGCCTGATGGGCTGGGAATTGTCACAAAATTTGCTGCAGGCATTTGAAGAAGAGGAAGTGGGTTGCAGTAATTAAGTGGTTACTGTTACAGGCCTCCACTCATTATAATTCTTGATACAGAGTGGGAAGTAGGGCTCTGTCTTGCAGGGTAGTGAACACTGGTCCCAGTTCAGCAAAGCGCTGAAGTATCCTGGGCCTAGTTAAGCACACGTTGTTGGTGGTGCTTTCATTACACTGTGAGATCACGTCCTTCTCTAAACTTCTGGACAGTTCTGGTTTCTCTTGGAGAGGGATGGCTGCCTGTGACGCAATGCAAAAAAGAAGTTTCTTGTGCAAGAGGAACCTGGTGGTGCCTTGAGAAGAGCGGGGATGGAGCGGAGAAGTGTTGAGGGGGGTGCATAATGCATAAGGAGCTTGATCTGAAATCCAGAGTGCAGGAGCTAGTGAAGTCTCAGATACAAAAATAGTGGTTCCTTTGTAGCCTCAAAGAAGTTATGTTGGCGCTTTGTGTCAGCTGTGTCGGAGCGTCGTGCCTGCTTTCAGCATTCGGTCTGGTGAGGAATTCCTGACCCCTCTGTCACAATTTAACGAGGTGCTAGGTTACTCCTGAGGTTTTACTTCTGCTGGTGGCAAGCCTTCAGCAACATAAGTGGTGGTTGGGGGTCTTTGGAGAGCCCTCCTCCCTTGTCCAGACCAGCAGAGTGTGGCATTGCCAAATGCAGAGTAGGAGACGTTGCCCACCCAGGGGGCTTGCACTTATCCGGTACTAACTTGCCGTAGAAGTGGGGAGCTCTGTGGCTTCCCTTTAGTCAAGTAAGTAGGTGGACTCTTATCCTGTTAGTCCCCTCTGGCTCTCCGCATGCTTTTCCCCCTTGAACACCCTTCCAAAGGGCTGCCATTCTGGGTATACGAGGAAGCCTGCTTTGGGTTATAGTGAAAGAAGAGATGGTGAAGGAAGTGGTGAGGATAGAGCGCTGGGCTGGGACTTGAGCCTGGGCTGTGTTCCTGGCTCTGCCACTGTCTTGCTGTGGGACCTAAAGCAAGTCACTTTGCCTCCCTGTGTTTCTCTGTCATTAAAACAGGAAGGATGATACTGGACTCTGAAATCTGCTGCTGAAGAATGCTGTATAAGGGTTAGGTAGTACTGTCTCTAGTATGAGGGATTCCTCTAGGCTCAGCTTTCTTTCCTCTGGATGTCAGTCCTCTGTCTTGAAACTTTGAAATGCAGTCGATCACTGAGTGGTTAAAGTAACCCAATGCATATCTTTGGGATATCGGTATAACCGAATACTAGGGAAGCCATAAGCGGGGGAGGTGCTAGGGATCATCAGGTGCTGCTCTTGTAAAGTCCTCATACCCTTGTAAAAATTCCTGCCACCTCTTATTAATTTCCAGTAGCTTTTATTAACACTGAGCACTTGTAAAAACTTTTGAAGCTCAAACATTAATATTAATGAGCTGATCCTTACCCAGCTCCTGTGTGGCTTAGGTAGATGGGAAGGATTTCACTTTCCTTCCTCCATTTATTTGTCTGTGAAATGGGGATATTTCTTGAAGCCTCTGAGGAGCTGTGAGAGGAGAGAGGGAGTTCAAAGTGTACTGGGAACCAAATATTGTACGTGAAAAATAGTTGGTGAGCAGCAATTTACTCCCAGTACCCTTCTACTGAGTCAGAGGGGTCTGTCTTTGCCTCTAGATCAGCGGGTCTTAACCAGAGTGCCGCGAGATCCTTTCAGGGGTGCTGCAGGATGCCACACTTGTTAGCACTGTTAGGTGTGTGAACATGATTCACACAATAAACCAAGAGATGTCACATGGAGATCCATAGTGTTAAAAGCAGTCTGCTCCATTGTGGTCTTTCTGAGTTCGTTGCAACAGAATGGTGTTTTTCTGTAGTAAAAAAATCAAGTGAAAACTAAGAGCTGACATTTCCCAAGGTGTGCCTTGAGTCTTAAATAAAGAAAGAAAGAAAGAACCAATTCTCTAGCTACATCCTCTGTCTTTAACCCTTGAAACTAAAGGGTTAAGCGACCCAACCCATCCATTGGGTTATCGGTATAATAGAGCTCCAGGGATGCTGTAGGGATTTAAGTAGCATTTTCTTTCAGCTAATTTGCTGCAGCGCTGCAGCATGTGAAATACCAGTGCCGAGAGAGGCGTGTGCTGCTATTAACTGCACCCGCGTCTGCGGCTCGGCTTCGTTCAGTAGAACAATCCAAGGAGTAGAAGCGATTTAGTTAGTACAATGCCTAGACAAGTTAGTAGAGCAGGGCTCTTTTAATAGGGCATCCAGAAATAGATGCAGCCTGTTCAAATATAATTCCCTAGAAATATCCAGGATAGATTTCGTTATTTCAGTTGCACATAACGTAGTGATGGTGGGGGAACTAATTACTGCTCAGTTATTACAGTCCCATTATCCTGAGACTCCCCACGGTGGGTGATGCCTTGACCTTTTGCTAGCTCTTGACCTCATGAGCAAGGCTAGCTGTGGTAGAAGCAGTGTTGAAAATGTTGCTTATCCTCCAAGAAAATGGAGTGAGGTGTCCTGAGACGAGTAATGCCTGTGAAAACCCTTCATCGGTCAAGACAGTGGCTCCTTTTGCTTTTTCAAAGAACCTGTTTGAAGACGAGCCACTGGTCGGCAGTGATGTTGGGCTATCCCAGCCTCAGCCTTCAGCTGTCCTGTCTATATGCTGGGTCTAATGACATCCCTCCTCTATAAAGCACTGTCAAAGAGGTGGGTATTTTATTAATAATACAAATAAAACCATCATAAATAATAGCAATAATGTTAAAAACTCTCCAGAAGAAGCAGCTTGCCAATGTCCTTTCAATGACAATGAACAGCATGTCATATGCTGGAGCCCAGCTGCTCAATGGGCCTCGGTGCTATCATCGTGTTCGCAATAATCATATTAACATAGAACAGCTTTGTATGTGGAATTGGGAGACTTGGTCGGCTGCTCCTTGACCTCAGAAGTTTTATAAGACATGTTTCTAAATATCTAATCAGCCTGAGAGTAGTATAAGCATGATGTTGTAGCATAGTGGTTCATAAATTGAGAGGCAGGGATTTCTTTGGGTGATATCTTTTATTGGCCCAACTTTATAGTTGGGATAGTTAGGCAAGTTTTCGAATGCAAGGCGTTCTGCATCTCAAGTCATCCTTCATTTCCTAAATTGAATTTTATCTACAGCCTTCTTGCAGTTTTCATTAGGAATAGCAGGCCTGGGTTTAAAATGGCCTCGGTCTGCCCTTCTGTGCTCTTCTGTTGTGTCATGCATTATTTCTCTTGTTGCACAGAAGCAAGAAGTATAGAAACTGTCCCTGGCGTGAATGGATAGAAATGTATGGCTTGGATTGAAAACCTGGGGTTTTTTCCAATGTACCAGTGTGGATTGATGGAATTGGCCTTGTACTTATTCCCAAAAGAACAATGTAACCTTGTAATGGAAGCATTGGACATAAATAAATGCTTTAAGCAACCCAGCCCAAAGTCTGTGTCTTCACCTTTGCCCTCTTCCCTCCCATTTGCGTTCCCTCTTGCTTTCCTTTCCTCCAGTCTGACTGTCTCTTTATAATGATTTGAAGTCTTTATATATAGATTTTCATGTGGCTGCTTTTAAGATCTTTTCAACTAACTTCCCACTGGAGTATCTACAAATATTAAAAGATGTTTGAAATTACCCAGCCCCAACAGTGCTTGAAATTGAGCCATGTTCTGGTGTGTCAACAGATTGCTTCCAGCGCCGATTGTACAGGCTGGAAAAGACGGCTCACACTATTGTTTTTCGCAGTGCTGCCATGTTATTAAATGTCTCATCTCTTGCTAGTCCAGGTGTGTCGTTCTGGTTTACTTTTACGAGGTGTTACTCTGGTGTCCTAGACCCCACTAGACATGCATTTTATGCATTGCCTTTGCCATTCAGCATCCAAGAAGTAGTTGCTTCCAAATTTGAGTTTCATTGGCTCCTTTTCTTAACATAGGGATATTTGGGTGTATCCTGCTGCAATTAAGCGAAGAGTTGGGTGCTGGAAGTTTAGAGAGTAGCTGATGTATATCGAAAAACTCTAAACGATGTAAGATCCTGGGTCTCAAACAGGATCATCAGGGTTGCATAGTTCAACTCCTTGCACAAATGCAGGATTCTGTATTCCTAGCGCATCCCAGAAAAAAACCTGTCCAGTTGCTGCTTGAAGCCTCCAGTAGACAAGTTGCCACAATTTCCCTGGGCAATTTGTTTTGTTGTCCAACTGCTCCAAGTGTTAGGAAGTTTTTCCTGAGTTTCTGTATCTACTTTGCTGCAGAGTACAGCCATTGTTTAATGTCCTGTCTTCTGGGGCAAAAGAGAACAATTTTTCTCCATCTTTAGTGCAGGCTTTCAAATATTTGAAAACTGGTACCATGTTTCCCCACCTCACCCCCTCGTTTCTTTTCTTCCTTTAACTAAATCCACCTCATTCCCTTAGTCTTTCCTTGTACAGTTTACATTTCACCTGTATCATCTTGGTGGTTTTCCTTCAGATCCACTCCAGTTTTTCTATTTTGCAGTACCTTTCCTCATTTCATACTGGTCAACATTTTCTGGAGTGGCTTATTTTGGATGCCTTTATTTTTGACTGCCC